GTTTTAATTTACTTTTATTAGGTTCACCAATACTATACATTTATAGTGATCATATCATCATGAAAAATCTCTTATTTATTTTTAGCTTTTATCTATGCAACACTATTTCTTGATCACAATCACACATAGTGGGGTTTTTTTCAAGCTGAATGACCGATGGATTCAATTTTATGTATCAGAGGACGCTGCCCTTATTTACCTTATTAGAGTTACTGTCAAATTAATTCATTTAATGAGACAATGCAGAACCTTTCTACGATTAAAACTGAATGATTCATGTTAGAGATAGAGGTGATGTCACACTTGTGAGAGAGATTGTACCCAACCATTTACCAGCTTTGCAGTCAAGCTGGATTTCACTATTTCTTTAAAACAATCAAACCATAATTAGAGAATTTAAATTGGACATTATTGTAGCACCTTGTGTTCGTAGCTAGCATGCCTTCCTTATTTTCCTACTGTTGTCAGGTTGTCAGGTTGCGTTGGCCTGAGTGACAGCTATTGTGCCTTTTTTGGAGAATACAGTGTTTCTGTGCTTCCTCTGACTTCACTACCTTATTTTTATTTAGAAATAAAATAATATTTTTCCTGCAGCAGCAAAAATCCGTGTATGGTTCATTCTTTGTTTTTTTTTCATTTCAAAACAAAAACGAAAAAACAAAACAAGCATGTGGTTTTTCTGTTTTTCCGTTTTTAAAACCTAAATCGAAAAAATGAAAAATCGAATTAATAGAAAATGAACAGCGTTTGAGTTTTGTTTTGCCATCTAAATGAAAATAAAATACGGTTGTTGTTTTAATATGTAGCGGTACCGGAAATGAAGTAAGTCGCCAAAGAAAAATCATTTACAGTGGATGTAAATGATTTTTAAAACAAGCCATTTCTAAACAAAAGGTAATGGCTGCACTTGAACTGTTTTCTGCATTGATTATCAAACTTTTTGTGAGAGGAAAAACACACTCTGAAATCAGTGATGCTTTGAGCCGCCATGGAGCTCCACATTACTCGGTAATGAGTGTCAGAAGGTTTTGTATGGAACACAACAATGTGTCGGACGCAGACAGATCATTAGCTCTCAATGAAATGCGTTGATTCCCTCTAAATAGCACAAAAGTTTCCATTTTGGTAGTGCTAACTGAAAAAGTTCTTCCTCTTTTGGATAGTAATGGTGGTTGGCAAGAAATTGAAGGCGTACATTACCGCCACCTGCTGATAACTAAAAAAGTTATGTGTTGGTAGTTCAGGTCTTCATTTCTGGTTCTGCCACAAGGTCCGTTGAATTAACAACAAAATAAAAGTTTGTCTTTGGTTTAACCATTGCAGTTAAAAAAATTCCCAAAACGTACACTTTTTTTCATTTTTGCAAATGCCGTTTTTCTAATTTCGTTTTAAAAATGAAAAAAAAAAAAAAAACATGCTTGTTTTATTTTTTCGTTATTGTTTGGAAACGAAAAAACCAAAGAACGAACCATACACGGATTAGCAAAGCATATTGTCAGCAGGGCTTGCTGTTTTTTTTGTTTGTCGTTAACTGTTTGGATGAAGGTGGGATTTTAGTTGATCACCATGCTTTTCAAACCATCAGCTGTTTTCTAGATGTATTTAGTTTACCGTTTAGCTCAACAAAGCATTGTTTCTTTTAAAAACCACAGCATATTCTCTTTCCAATAAGCCTCTCTCTGTACAGACAGGTCAGCGCTCCTAACATCAATCATACATTTGCTTTCCTGGCATTAATATACATTTAGAAACCACTTTATAGAGATAATTGAATTTAATCAAGTAGCATTTATCTTATTCACATCCCAACGGTAAATCTAGAGGAGCTATTGATCCCTTCTGCTTTGATTCATCAGGTCCAGCTGAACAGGACGCTGTCTAGCCAGTATGTGATCCGGACACAGCCTTCCAACATCTGTTTGTCCACGCTGGAGTGTGCTGCTGTGGCTTTGTCCATCCTGGAGCAGAAAGATGAGATCCAAGAGGTGATTTTTTTTTTTTTCTCAAAAAACAAATCCTAGTAATATTTAAAACGTTTGACAATCATGTTGGGTTTTTGGTTTTTCTATCAACCATTGTCTAAGTTTAGAGTAAAGCAGCAACCTGAACGAATAAGAATTTCTCTGTGATATTCAAGAGGCAGTGGTACTTGGATCAGGAGCACATAGTGTTTTTCGATACACGCAGAACCAGAACCAGGCTGTGTGATAAAATACCCACACATTATGAAAATCTTAAGATCCTGGTGGTGTTTGGGGGAAATTATCCTGTTAGTTTCTACCATAGGACGCAAATATTTGGACCTAAATAAAATAAAATTAAAAATAGCAGCACATTTTTGGATCAGTTAGACTCTTGAAAAAAATGTTACTCTAGGTTTTATTATTATTATTTTTTTTTTTTAGATAAGTGTATTTTCCCTTAATTTACTACTTTGTTAGACAAATCACCAAATAAGAAAGAAAAACAATAATAAATTATCGTCTTATTTTAAGGGCAACAATACTCATTTAAAGGACGCTTCACCTTATTTACCTGCTCTAGTTAAGGGCATTTACACTGATTTTTAGGAAAGTTATTATTATTTTTAGATCACTATTTGCAGGAAAAAAAGAAAAAGCATACCTAAGTCTGTAGACGTGTTTCAATCAAATGTATATTTCATCAACCTAAATATCATTTTCTACCAACATACTAGGTGTTAAGTATAGGTGGATGCAGTCTTATAAATACTATATTTGTTTTATTGCATTGCACTGTGTATAACTGAGCATGTGACAAATAAAATGTCCGTTTATCCATCTCAAACATATTCTTTTATTATTATTACTTAATGCCAGGTAGAAATGGAGAGTATGATGGCATATTTAAGTTCTGATCTATTTTCGTGTAGTTCAGCATGGTTTACTAACGGCTATGGCAATGCTAGCATGAGCAGCTAACTTCCTTCGATCTATTTAAGCTGCTTGGGTTGCTGCTTCTTTTTGAAATGTTACCAGTTGTCGTCAATGGAGTTGTCAGAACTCCCTTATCTCTATGGCTCTGGGTCATTTTAGAGTCCTTCAGTGGAGGGAAACATGTCAAGTAGCATTTTGTTTTTTAAACATTCTCAAACTTTGCATCAAATTTAAATAGAAACACTCATTTGACCACAAAACATTTCCTCAAAAGGCATTTTGGGTTTTCCATGTACATAGCTGTATACTTCCGTCAAACTTTTTAATATTTTGAAGTGGGTGAAGTGTTTTATTTTATTTTATTTTTTTATTTTTTTTTTATTGTCACCATCCTTTTCAGCCTGAGCAGCGTCTTTTATTCCGTGGTGGACTTAAGCTTTCTGTGCTTCGTGTGTTTTGTTTTTTGTCTTTTTTGCTATTTCCTAATTTTAAAAAAAATGTTTTATTGTTTACATGTATAGGTTGTCATGATCCTATTAAGGTTTTTTTCATTTTTTCATCTATGTTTCATCCTGACAGATACTGCTGAGGCCTCTGAAAGCCCTGTGCTCCTTCCAGCTACAGCATGGCGCTCAGATTCATCACAGCAAAGAGCATCTCCTTAGGAACGGCATGTACGACAAACCCATGCCAAAAAACAAACGCAAGATTAAAAGAATGGAGAAACTCATGACTGACCACAGCATCTGTCCAAGATGAGACCTAGAGAAGGATCTTAGAATATCTTTGCACACTTTTTTTCAACAACTTTTGGACTGAATCATCTTGATACAAATGTGCAAATAACTGGACTTTTTTTTTTTCATTGTTTGTTTAGCTTTTTATGCTTGTTTTATGTTGAGAATTTTAATTTATATACTGAGTTTTAAATCAGAGACTGAAGTTTTACTTGAAGTGTTTTACAACAAATGAGATTTGTTAGTTTTTTTTGCTTTATCCAGGAGTTGTTTACCCAAAAATACGGTAAACAAAGGGATAATGTTGTGTATAGTGGTAGCCTCTCCTATATAAGGGCTAGGATTATTCAATGTTTTTCACAAAACAAAGTCTTAAAGAAAGAACAGCATTTAAGTACAAGTACCAAAGCTGTATAAATGTTCATCTTTTTAGTGTTCAATTTACTAACGACATGTAAATAGATCACTTGTAAATAAAACCTGTTTGACCTTTAAAACGACTCAATTTTTTATACCTGTTTGTTGAAATTAATCTAAACAAATCAGCAGAATGAAAAATATGAGATGGGCAAATACTTTGTATTGTGTGGTTTATTGATTCAGTTTCTTCAGTTAAATAAAAGCACAGTTTGCAAATCAAGCATAAATATCCACGTGTAAGATACATCCATTTCTAATATTTTTTTAATGTAGGAGAAATATTAAACTGCAGAAGAATAAGAAAAAAAGCTTTTATGACATTTAGTATTTTATATGTATGAGAAATTAGTTTGGGTGATAAGATGGAAGAAAAAAAAAACAGTTATAACAGAATAAACAAAAAGACTGAAAATTGCCCTTTATCCTGTAAGAGAAACATCTTAATGTTAAATATTAAAAGAATTGTGACGTATTTGAAAGACATAAGGTGTTAAAATATTTAATTTTTGTTTTCTTTTAATATAAAACTGACAGTAAGTAAAATATGCTTTAGACTTATTTAATATACTTTGAGACTTTACATAAAAACGACTACTAATAGCAAACACGTGGTTATACAATTTTGAAAAGGTAACTCAAATTAAAGAACTTGCACAAATTTTTATACAACATATAGTATGCAGTACTTTTAGATTTGTTATATATATATATATATATATATATATATAACATCTAAAAGTACTGCATACTATATGTTGTATATATATGTGTGTGTGAGTTAAAAATAATAAAGATAAAAATTTCATACATAAGAATATTACAAATAATGAGGCAGTATGTAAATATACATGTATAACTCGCATTATATAAAATATATTTAATGTTTATTTTGTAATTTCCTTCCAAGTCGCCTCTGGCTGAACTGTTGCGCATGCGCGTTTCGAATCGGCCCCCGGTAGCTCCGCCATCTTTGTCGGCAGCCCATTGTTCACTCTGAAGCTAACAACGGTGTCAAAACCTTCTGCATCTTCTATTAAATTACCGTGACTGTGTCACCAATAGCTGACTGTGATCGTCGTGGATTTGCTCACAAGGTCGCGACTTGTTTTCGGCCACTAAGTGAGACAGAATGGACGACGAACAGCCAAAAACCTTGTAAGTGTAAATGACTGCGTTGCTCTTAGCTAGCCGCTCGCTCTCGCCACAAAACATTAAGCGGTACATGCATATTTATACGTCTCTTTATATCTGTTTATAAGCTGTAATTTGTTTTTAAGCTAGAATGAGCAAGCTAACATATTGGATCACATGAAACGTATTATTTTAAAGTGTTTACCATTGGGATAATCGAAAGCTTAATGCTAGCCAGATAACAAGCTAGCTACTTCCAGAAAAATCTCAAATATATACATTTTGGAGCTTCCCACTTTAAGTGGAATTAAAGCGCTTTTTTGTGTGCTTTAAACGCACTTGGATAAATAGGAAAATATTTGTTTTGAGCTAAGGTTCATGTAACCGATCTGTTAAGCGTTTCACCCCCGAACAACGATTCATGGGTGATGTTGGTCATTGTGCAGGCCAATTGTTTTATAACCCAGTTTTTATTTTAGTTTGCATTGTTTTTCACGTCAATAATATGGACTTAGGCTTAATGCGTTGAGTTTTTTTTAGAATTGTTGGTAATGGTTTTCAAAAAATGACATGTTTTAATTGTTAAATAGACATCCTTATGATCTTAGAGTGAACAGTTTGCCTTAAGTAATGAGATTACAGCAAAAATTACCAGAGGTTATTAGCGACTAGAGATACCACAGGAGTAGTTTTGAAGTTTGAAGTTTTAAAATTGGGAAGAGGATTAGGAACACTGAAAAATAAAAAAAAAAGTTGACAGATTTTTAAATTTTATTTCGGTTTAATATGTGGAAAAAAAGTCAGAATTCTGACTGTAATCTCAGAGTTCTGATTTTAATCTCAGAATTCTGACTTTAATGTCAGAATTTTGGATCTTAATGTAGATGGGCATCATGAAGGAAGAGATGTGGGAGTACTCAGCTTCACTGACAAAGATGTGAGTTTTTTGGGAGGGCTAGTAACACATTTGTGGAAAATGATGCCATTAGGCAACTTTTTACATGTCTGAGGGGTCCTCAGTGATGCTATTTCATTAATGGAAGAGCAGAAGGTGATTAAAACAAAAGAGCTAATCTCTTAAACAGGCATGGCTACGGCTTGATGCTAACATGTTTTTTAGCTGTCAGAATTCTGAAATTAAAGTTGGAATTCTGACTTTTTTTGTCATGCTGAAATCAAATTTGAAAATCAGTTAACTTTTTTTTTTCCCCAGTGGCCCAAATCCTCTTTCGTACTTACAGAAACTGGTTTATCCTTGAAAAATTAGTATTTAGAGTAAAAATGTGTCCTCCAATGTGCAGTTTTAGGACTTTGCTTTTTCATTTATGTTTTATGTAGATATTTTAAAGTCTATCTTTAATTGCAAATGAAACATTTTTTTTAGGCCTGTACTTGTAATCTCCAATTACATGTAGATTAATTTGGTTTCTACAGGATGTAAAGTGATAAAAAAAACATGTCTTTATGTAACTGGTGTTCTGAAAAATCCATTTTTAAATTTAAACAGATAAGTTTGTGTTGCTCTTAGTGCTGTGGCATGCAGTTACAGCAATACAGTTACCTAAGTAAAGACCACAAATAAGTAATGAGTGTCAATTTAATTATAATCACAATAGTACCACAATATATAGTGATAAGATTTTAAGCCCATATCAACCAGCTTTGTAGTAATATTTCATTTTGAGATCAAATAAAGAAAAACATTAGTAGTTCTTCAGAAAGAAACTTGATTAGATATTATGCTGCTGAAGATTCTCAGTCTTCCAGGTCATACTCATTCTAAAAAAATTGAAATTAAAAACAATACACTATTTTAATTCCCTATGTGTATTAAAATGTGTATGTGCATGTGTGTGTGTGTGTATGTATGTGTATATATATATATATATATATATATATTAAAAATATATTCAAGAAATATACATACCTCCATTACTTTGTTTTTAGTGAAGACAAGATCATCAGTGCTAGGTTCTCTGTTAAATAAAGTATGACTGTTTAATAAAGTAACCCTTATCCATGGATTACTTTTCTTGGGGTAAAAATGTGACTCAGAAATGTGATTTGTTTTTAAGTTTAATTTTCCAAATACATTTTTTTTCTTAAAATTGCAATAAAAATGTATTCTTCATAATGAAAATATATTTTCAAATTAATTTGGTGCATTTTTTTTTTAATGTAAATCTATTTAGGAATTGAATCTACATTTACTTGTTCAATTGTGTGTGTTTGTAACTGGCATGAATATTTATTGATATTTATATCGTGATGATCTGAAAGCTCGCTCAAAGGCAAGATTGAATGTAAATATTTCAGAAATGTTGCTATAATTCCAATATTTCTTTTTATCTTCATCTTTATCTTTACACTTCTGTAACTTCCGGAGGTTTATGCCTCTTAATAAATGTATCTTTTAGAATAGCGCCCAACATACTTATTAAAGACTGTTCTAACAAATTGTTACAGGGAAAACAAATACCTGAGAGCACTTTTTGTGTTTTGAGAAAATTCCATTCTAAAGTTTTTTATGTTTGAAAAGAAGGTTTGATTTATTATTTATTAAGAATTTTCTGGCTGAATGGCCTGTTGAGTGTTAGGATCTTGCTGCCAACAGATTCCTCCATAATGCTATGGGAATAAGTGGGTCAAGCCTGTCTGTTTAATGTGCAGATGCTTGTTTCATTGTGGCAAAGTTCATGGAAAGCAGTTCAAATGTTATGTGCGAAGAAAAATTGAAAGCGAATATAGATAATTTTCATTATATAGTTAATGAGTAAATATCGATTAGCATCTGTAACCTTAAATTTTAGTTTCTGTTGATATTTCTTTTAGCATACAGATGCACAACACATTATGCAAATTATAAGTTGGCTGAAACATTTCAACATTTTACCCACCCCTCACTTTTTTGTTTTAAGTCCTTGTTTTTAACATGGATAGTAGGGATGGGACGATTTATGAAAACCGTCCGAACCGTTCGGTTCGGCTGTCTCGGTTCGATTCGCGTGTGTTTCGTTCGGTTCATGCGCTGCTCCTTTTTCTCATAGGCAAAGCGTTTACACTCCAGAGCAGAAGGTGGCGGTACTGCGACTAAAGCCAACCACCAGTAGTAAACAAGAAGAAGAAGAAGCGAAGCAGCGTAGCCGGGTGTAGCAGAAAAAAAAATCAGTTGTTGTGGAGAATTGTGTCGGAATGGCGAGTGGGAAAGAACAGTTGAAAGTTGGAAGACCTGCAGCACTTTATAGGTCTGCTGTATGGGACCGCTTTGCATTTAGAGTGACCTATGATGACGGCGGAAAGAAAGTTGTGGATAAAAGTGCAACAG